TTAATAATTTTTTTGCTATCACTAGAAAATAATGAGGCATTTTGTCTATCCAATATAAAATGATCTCCTTAATCTTTCTGAAGATCAAGAACAAATGTCGTGATTGTTAGACTTCACATAATTTTCACTTAGTACAAATATCGTGTCCCAAAAATTAAACGCACCTTTTGTCCCATAAATTTCTTATTATGACTTTTTGTGTTGTTTTTTACATATTTATTTGATCTAATTAAGTGTTCTGAAATGTTTAATGTTATTTTATTTTTAAAATCTTATTTTTTTATTGTTTACATGAGCTGATGTACTAACCCGTTACAAAGGGTTCATATTTTTTTTTCGGAAAAGACAGGTCAATTTGTCCCTTTCCCATTCCAGCAAGGAGGAGCAGTCAACAGACATCTACAAAAATACTGCTAATATGCAAGAATCAAGATGCTGTGAAAAGTCACATAAATGTGCACACACAAAAATAGTGTTAAAAGGTGCTGCACATTCTAATAACATCAATAAATTGGTGGTGAGAAGCTAAATGAGAGAAGCCTCTAGCACAATGCAGCTAGAAAATAGGGCCTATACTAGAATATTGAAAGAATGATATAGAAATATCTAGATAAAAAAATTGTATAGAAATACCGTCAAAACTCACAACAAATGAACAAACTACATAGGCAGTGAACCAAGATTATATAAATATTAAAATTAGAAATAAGCAAATTACGAGGCTTTAAAATTAAGGATGTGAATATAATAAATGCACTTAGGTGAATTATATATATTTTAATTTTGGTGAGTGTACACTGACTCAATCCGCAGTAGTTGTATATGGTACTAAAAAATTATCTCAGTTGTAGGTTGCTGTCTCGAGCAATCACATCAATTAGCAAGAAGCCGTAGCCACCAATGTAGTAATATATTAACCACCTTTGTATATAATCCATGCTAGTATCCAATAAACAACTTTTCTAACAATTCCAAATCCATTCTCCTTCATACTTTTAACATCAATTAATTAAATCTCTTCCGACATTCAACAATTCCATTTTCTTCTTGATTGGATCCAAAACCAAAGGTCCAAGAGCTGGTCGCTGGGCAACAATTTGACCTGTGAATGAAGAGGAGCCTTAACATTTTGTAGGGAAGTTAAGAAACGACAAGTGACGGGTATTAAGACCAAGACAAGGAGATAAGAAAATGGGACAAGTGATTTCAATTCATTTTAAATGCATTGGACTTTTATTCACTTAGTAGCTAGTAGTCACTACTCAATGCATGTAAAGATCTTAAAAAAAGACCCGGTCCCTCTTCTTTCCATGGAGCTTCTTAAATTTGTTTTAGAAGGATGTGTATGACAATCATTTTATCCATTAACACTGTTTTTGAAAAATAATAATTCTTTTTTATTTCTATAACTTCAAACAATTTCTGAAAAAAAAATTGTTTGATAACATGTTCTATTTTTATTCTGAGAATGAGAATTGCGTTTGATAACACAACAAATAATATAATAAAAAATAATTTCTATTTAAGCATAAAAAAAATTCGGATCATCACTTTCCTTTCCATATGGTGTGGTGGTGGTGGCGACAGTGGCGATAGTGGTGGTGGTGATGGCAGTGGCTCTGGCGATGGTAGTGGCATGATGGCGGTAGTGGTGGTGGTGGTGGTTGGTGGCGATGACCATGGTGGTGGTGGTGGTGGTGGCGGCGGCGATGGCCATGGTGGTGGTGGCGATGGCGATGGTAGTGGTGGTGGTAACAGTAGTGGCTGTGATGATAGTGGTGGTGACGGTGATGACGATGGTAATGATGGTGATGGTGGTGGCATGGTGGCGATGGCAATGGCGTTGCGATGGTAGTGGTGGTAGTGGTGACGATAGTGGCTGCGACGATGGTAGTGGTGGTTGGTGACGGTGGTGGTAGTGGTGGCGTCGTGGTGGCGGCAGCAGCGATGGTTACGACAGTGGATGCGATGATGAGTGATGGTCACGGTGACATGGTGATAGTGATAGTGGTTGATAAGTCCATGAAATGTGACTTAAAACACATGTTTGTTGATCCGAAAATGTTAAAAAAAGAATATATTTTGTGTTAATACTGACCCCAATTACATTAAGTTGAAATGTTGTTGAGTTAAAAGCTAATGAGCTTGTGTTTTGATGTTTCAGGCACACAAGTCAAGTTTGAAAAGGATTTTCCAAAGCAAAGAAAAATAAAATGAAATGAGCTTTACACTTTAACACAAAAGTTAGCCCAAGTGAGAAACAGAAGGGCAAAAGTGGAAGGAAGAAGAGATAGGCCTCTTAAGCCACACATTTGGTCAGAATCTCATCGAACCCTAACCCTTTCTCACCATTTCAAACCACCCACCTCAATCCAACCACAAAGCCATTCCAAATCAATCTTCCATCTTGATTTCTGTTAGCCATCTGAACCACAAAATCCTCCTCCTGGTGATTTAATCAACCATTCACCCAAAAGTTTGAACCTAACTGTTTTCTCTTTAAAAGGAAATACACCAAACATTGACCATAACTGACTGGATGAGCTGGAGTTTGTTAGAAGTGTTGGGTGGTGCGAGTGTGTAATCTAGCTGTGCATCGCAAGAGAGAACCAAGTGTGTGTGTGTGATGGACTTGCACGTGGGAACAAAATGGAAGAGCCAAGGCCCATGCATTAGGGAAAGGAGATATAAAAAGAAAGGAGAAAAGCTTGGAGGACTCTCTCACCTTCTTCTATATTTCTTCTTCTTCGTTTTATTTTTTATTTTTTGCTTTTACGTTTCTGATATTGCAAGATTTTTTTATTTTGTTTTGTTTTGTAAATGTGAGCACAGTGTCGAGGCTATCTTGGTGGATAGTACTTGTATTGTGGTTTTGACTTTCTGTTTATTTTATTTTCTTTGTATTTCTTTCATTATTGTTGTTAAGCTCAATCCCTATGGATTTGAGCTAAATTTTCCAAGGGTTCGGTGACTGATACCCCAACCACAGTGATTGGTGTTGATTGTTTTTCTGAAATGAATGTTTAATTTCTTTAGTCCAACTCTGGTTTACATGTTCAAATGTTATTTCATTTCGGCTGTGTGAAATAAGTTTGTTTAGGGGAAATTTTTAGGGAAATAAATTTCTCTGGAAAATGAGTTGAGCTCAATGACTCAAATAAGGAATTATTTGAGGGAGTAAGTCAGATATGATTTTTACTCCTCCATGTGGCCAAAAGGACCTGAGCTTCAAGCTCTTATTCTCACCTACTTAGGGATAAGTTGTGTGGGAATAAAAGGGAAAATAATTTTTAAGGGATTAAAAATCCACAGTAGTCTGCCAACTGAAAAACAATTGTGAAATAATTTTGTTAAGCAATTGGATGCTAAGGGCTGTGAGGAAGCAATCAAAACTCAACCTAGTTTTTTTTAATTAAACTTCTTAATACTTTGTTAATTCTGACTGTTTTTAATTCAGTTAAATTTTTTAGGAATCCTTGCAGAAACATAACCAATTTGAAAAGTCTAAAAATAATTTTCTCAATTTATTTTATTTCTTTCATTTTGTGCATTAAGATATTGTTTTCAATTTTAAATCAAAAAGCCCCAAGTCAACTTTTAATCTTCTGTTTGTTTATTTTATTTTCTGTTTGTCAACCTTAATCATAGTTTCTTTTTAGTTAGAAATTCAATTTTAGGCAATTGCAAAATTGGCTTTTGAAGCTTTTCGCCATAAGATCTCTGTGGGACGACAAGGGTCTTAAATACCCATATACTGCTTGTGGCTGCGTATATTTGCGCTTATCCTGCATACTCTTTAGCAAGGCCAACAATGACGATAGGTGGAGGTGGTGGTGGTAGTGATGGTGACGACAGCACTGGTGGTACGACAATGGAGACGACGACTATGGCGGTGGTCGTGTCGGTATTGGAAATCGACAATCACACACAAATCAGAAAATAAAAGAGAAAGAGAAGAGAGAATTTTGACACGACAATTTACCTTGGTTCACCCAATGTAGACTATGTCCAGCTTGTGTGTACTATATTCACATTCGGTTTACAAGGAAAATATAAATATGATTAGAAAACCCTAACAGTAGCTATTCATGTACCCAAACTCAAACTACTAAAAAAAAGAAAAAAATTACAATAAATTAGGGACTCCAGTTGCCTTTCTGCTGACCCCGACAACAATGGCCCTCATCAGCATGCAAAGTATGAGAATGATTAAGAGAGACAAGTATTTCTCATTTTGTGTCCGACAACAAAAAAACAAAAAAAATTGAATTCTTTTTTCTGTTCCCCAACACAAAAATTAAATTGATTCATCTCGAGAACAAAAAAATAAATTGCTTTTACCAAACAAATTTTCTATCCATTTCTGTTTCCAAAAACAGAAATTTAAAAAAAAAAAAATTATTTTGAAAAGGTTGTGATACACACCTTAAGAATCCATGCATAGTTGTCCCTTCTAGATTTTCGAGGGAAGTTTAAAAAACTTGATTTTTAAGTTCCAGCTCTGTGTATTTATGTTTAAATAGGGAACCATAGCCTACATTTTGTGATTTGAGAAAGAGGAAATAATAAATATGAATTGGGTCACATAAGAAAAACAAAGGAAAAATAATGGCTAGTTTCGATATCTTCTAACTAACAGGAACACTACTGTTGACAGAACAGAATCCAGAGGATTCAGTCCAAATGAAGACGTGAATACGAAAGATTGAAAGACGAGACAAATCCTTTGTTCTTCAGGTTGTTCTCTTTCATTGTTTTTTTTTAGTCAATGAAGACATTCTCTACTAGCCCAACAGTGAGTAAATGAGAGTTTTGGCTCTTCCAAAGAGATTACCAGCAACAATTTTTATCTTGAAAGAGAACATTAATTAAGTGAGGCAACAAAATAGAAAGATTGAAAAAAAAAAAAGAGAGTAAGCAGAGCTAAGAATAAGTTGTGGAAGTTGGAAACCTGGAACAGATTAGGTTACAAGAACAACAAATACAAAGGGTGCATGCATATCTTGATGAAGTGAATCTAAATGGCTGAAAATGCCAATGTGTACCACTTAGACTACTTTTAGCAACATATTAAATGACTAATACCAAACTGTTGCCAATATCAGTACTTAGAAATGCAACATAACACTAAATAACTCACATAATTATTACTTAATACAACACAGTTGCCAATATTACTTGGTAAGGATGGGAAGAGAAGGCAAAGGATTGACCCATGTTTTATGACAGCTAAATAAGGTATACACACATCTATAATTATTTTTTCCAAAAAAAAAAAAAACACATCTATAATTATCTACTACATACTTTATGACAACTTCTGCTCTTTTCTGATGTGAATGATGCACAAGCCTTTGGTGTCTGCAGCATCTATATACTACCGTTTTGAGCAAATGATTCTTCTACTTGAACCTTGAACCTTGAACCTTTCTTTTCTGTCAATGAGCATTTCCTTTTGTTTTTTGTTGAATTGTAGAATCACAGTTTTACTCGGATACAGATCAATAACAGCATCATACTGTTGAACAATTGAAAGTAGATTCATCAAGCCATTACAAGTAAGATAGTGAAAAGTAGAAATGAAAAGTAATGGAAAAGCTCGTCAATGGTAACGAACTTGTAGACAAAAAATAAGTTGCTGACGACCCAAATCAATCAAGAAAATTCAATTGAAATGAACTTTGAACACATTAAAAGCTGTAAACTATTCAATATATATAGAAAACAAACATCAAACGGTTCAGTTGTTAAACTAAGGATGAAACTAACTAGAAGCACTCTACACCTTGTGCAGGGCTTAGTCCTAAACCTGTAGGATCCAATTGTCAATGACAGGTTAGTCATTCTAAAGCTACTGATATGAAGGCACTGATACTTGTCTTTATTCCTCAACTTTCTTCATATATAAAATTTTAAACAAGTTCATTTAATGGAAGTTCCTTTACATGAATAACTACAGGATGCTTATAAATATATGAATTCATGCATCAAAGACAATTTTGAAGATTTGAGTATTTATGTTTTTACGTATATAGCATACTTGTTTCCATAAACATGCACTAATTTGTACATTTTATCTATGTGGTGTGCACTGAATGGATATTAATCTCCATTCATAACAGTTACTTAGTTAATTTAATGGCATAAATTTACTCCCTGGAGTCCAGAACTAACCAGAGAATCTGAATCTTCAACTGACATGTATCTTGGAATTAAAGAATTAAAACTTATAAAGACATGAGTGTTGGTCACTCTTTGCTCTTTAAATCATCAAAGGTTTAAAATTTTTTCTGTCATGTAAAATTCAAAATCTACCCTTCACCAACTTGATTTTGTGGGGGCACAAATAGCCAGCTTAGTGCAGCTTGCAAAACAGTTCTCTCACAGATGATTTTTACCAAAATCCGATGTCATCTCATCTTATCCATTGAAAATATTGGATTCCATACAAGGAAATTCTCCAAATTGTAGTAAAATAGCATCAAGAGTTGGACATGAGAATCAGCATAAAGAAAACAATAAAAGCATCTATGAAGAGCCACAATAATGAAGTAATTAATGAAAAAGAACAAAAACGTGAATGCAATGAAATGGTCAACTGAGTCAAACATAAGAGTAAAGAAACATCAGTTCTACTCTTAATTCATAAATACATTATGTCATTACAGTGATGATCAACGATGTCATTTTCAAAAATTTCTAAAATGGAGTGTCATTTCGTATTGCTAATTGGTTTGCTTATGCTGCAAAACATTCTATTTCAGCTAGCCTGTTTGTTAGAATTGTAACAACAACTAAGTTAAACAGATAAGGAAGATCTACAAAGTTTTTTCTTTCCCAACTTTTACTTGCATCATCACCATATAAGGTAAATAAAGATGAAAAGCATAAATATCCATTCATAAAAGGGAAAAAAAATCATGGTAAAATGGAAAAGTATAAACCATATACTTTGGAGATGGAGTACTCCTTTTAAAATTCGCGCACTATAGTCGGAAACCATACATGGCAATGTAAAAGACAGTGAACAAAAATATCATTAAACTATAAGAAAATATCACTTGTTTCATAACTAACTCCAACACTCTTTCCCATTTTAATCAATATACAATTGTTTCCAGATCCTAGTCAAGTTAACTGACAAAGAGAAAGCAATTGCATAGTCTATCAACAATCTCACCAATAACTATAAGCTTATAACTATTATGCTAACAAGGGAAACTAATTTATAATGAGCCAACAAACTATATATATACGGTTAGTAAACTTAATTACATGAAGCAATCATGGCATTAACACCGAACTTCAACAAGGACTGAAAGCTCAAACAGTAACATGTATTAGGTGCAATACTGTTGAGTTAATTAATATGAAATATACATGTAATTGACCCTAGAGCCAATCAAACAAAGAGATCATAAGATAATTGGGATCATAAATTATTTCATGATCGTCCCTACAAGTTCACTTTCATGATCAAAAGGCACATACAATTATTTGTAAAACAGAACATAGCAGAACACAAAACCAAATTTAGAGGTTAAATGCTAGCTAAGAAATTGCCCAAAATGATGATGCTTAAAGATGGTGGTGTTAAGAAACACAGGATACCTAGTAGGAAAATGACCACCGTAGAGCCTATTGAAGTCCAGGATGTTCACGTTCACCCAGAATACTAGGCAGTGAAAGAGTTGAACAAAAACTAATGACTTTGTGAAACCTGTTCACTGGTGATGGCAATTGAGGCACTCTCCTCCAACTACACTTCCCAGATTCACCATGAATCTCACATACACAAGCTGGATACACCCTATGATAGTCTTCATTGAAAACATATATAAGATCACCCAACCCAACACATTTCAAGCTTGCAAATTTATCATCCTCATCACCATCAAACAAGCTATAAAGCAAATCATGTGGCATCACAGCAATCTCATTGAACTCCATGGTCTTCTCATCAACCTTCCACAAATTGAAGGAAGACCCATGTGGCAAATTGCAGATCCCAGCCAGAACAAGTTGTTCCCTGCACGCAATCAAGAAGGAAAAAACAACCCCAGAAGGCCTAAGTGTCTGAACCTCACTCCAAACACGTTGGTTCAAATCAAAAGACGAAACAAAACAAGAATATATCCCAAACACAAAAAACCTTCCCTTAAACAAAGCAGAGGATAAGGAAGAAGATGAATTTCCTGATCTGAAATCTGCAGGAAGAGGAGTACCAAGTTCCCAAGTACCCAAAAGAGGGTCAAATATCTCAACATCCAAACGGTCCTCTATATCAACCAAGTTCCCAATGAACTTGACCCCACCAACAACAATGAACTTTGGGTGAATATTAAGACACCCATCATTGAAAACACCAAGAAGAGGGTTGATTCTAGGGAAGTGAAGAGGTGGGGTAGCATGCCAGAGAGGGTGGAGGATGCGGGTGTAGCAGAAAGCAGGAGCAGTGATGAAGAAGAAGCCATTGGTGCCAATGAAGGAAGTGTTTGGTTGGTGTTGGCGTGTGGTGGTTGTGGGGAAAGTGGGAAGAAGGAACCATGAGTTAGAAATGGGGTCAAAAGCGAAGGATTGGTTGTTCTTGGAGGAGATGTTGTGGAGTCCATGAAGGAAGAACCATGGTTGGTTTTTGTTGTTGTTGTGGTCGGAGAAGGGAGAGGAAGAGATGATTGATTGCCATAGTTTGCAGACAGTGGAGGCTCGGATCAGTGTTGGAATTGGGAGCAGTGATAGGATTAGTTCTATGAGGTCTGAACTCAGATGAGTGATCTCTGTTGTCATCTCTTTCTTCTTTCTTCTCCTTCTTCTGGTGTTGGAGGAAAGAGAAGAGAAAAGAGAGACACAATGTTCAAACACAGATAACGATGAATGGGGTAGATGGTTGAAAGGTTGAACGCGTGCGTTGATTATTTATACAGCATGTTTAGAAACTACTTTTTAAACTAAAGTTAAAAAAAAAAAAAAAAAAATTATTGTAACAACGAATTATGTTATTATCATGTTACTATTAATCAATTTCGTCGTTAGATCGGTTATGTTGATCCAACGGTTATATTTATTTTTACTTTTGTATGATTATGTTTTCCAAATTTAATATTTTATATTTATTTCTACCTTTGTATAATTATGATTTCTCATATTTAATGCTTTCACTTTAAATATGTGGAATCGTAATCATACAAAAATAGAAATAAATATAATCGTGGAATTAACATAACCGATCTAACGGTGAGATTGATTGGTAACACAATTTAGTTGTTACAATATACTTGCCCGAAAAAGAATAAAAAAAAAAGTTTGCTTGTTACGTAAAATTTTTGGTTTAAAAATTATTTAAAAACACACGTATCAAGAAAGTCTCTTTCTTTCTCTATGCCTCTTTGTTAAAAAAAATTACATAACTCAAAAAAAAAATATAAGAGTTTAAAAAAAAAAAATCTTTGAAAGATTTTGGCTTTTGTTTTTTTATTATAATAAAGGGTTCAATTTTTTACTATAAATACAAAGAAATTATTTACATTGAGTCCAAAATAATGTCGTTTTAAAGCTAAAATTAAGGTATTTTTATAATTATAATTTATTTCAAAATTATAATAAAATTTTTTATTATAATTTTTTAATCTTTTAACTCAAAAAAATATCATTATAAAAATAAATAAATATAGATATCAAAACCTATAAAAAAGAACTTTTCTTAAAACCTACTTCACTTAACATTTACTTAAGCTAAAAATAAAAGTATACAAATATACTCATAACGTGTAGTTTTCATTTTTAACGAGTTGAAGTTATTATTTGCAGTGTTATTCAATTGGAACTCAAGAATATAATATTCATTTGACAAATCGTTGATTTTCAATAATTGTATAATTATAATTTATTAAAAATTAGTAACTAATAAATATAATTTACTAGTTATCAGGTTCAAATGATATGTAAATTATTAAATTTAATATTGGTATCAAATTATCGTATTACATATATATATATATATATATATATATATATATATATATATATATATATATAATCATTTTCATAATATAGTTTATAAATTATTGATTAATATTATGCATTTTTTACTAAAATTCAAGTTCCAACTTCATCTGTCGGATGATCTTTAAAAGTTTGATACCAAATTATGAAAACTGATTTGATCAATAAATGGATGTCAATTTAATACCTATTCAACTCAATTTCTAATCAGTTTACCAACCTCAGATTAATTTATTTGCTTCATGAATGAATTGATTAGATTTGGTAGTATAACAATCCTCAATCTTAAACATATGAATAAAAGAGGTTAATAGGAATTTAAGGAATTAAACACTAATTTAAAGGATTTGTGAGAGAGAAAAATCATGTAATTGACACGATAACTAAGTTAAGAATACAGTTCATATCAGACAAGTCTCGTAGAACCCAAGTATAAGTATGAAATATATGTAAGGACATAGATATCATTTTGATAAAAGTTAGAGTTATCTTGATAATTGACCAAGATTAGGTCAAAGCTTGAATTAGATGGTAAATTAAATTGTGTGGTTAATTTCATGGATTCAAAGTAGGGCCGGCAAAATGGGCTGAGCCCGCCGGGCTGGCCCGCCCCGCCTGCCAAATGGGGCGGGCTGGGTTGAGTTTTTCAACCCACCAGCCCGCCAAACCCGCCAGCCCATATGGGTCAGCCCGCCAGCCCATATGGGTCATCCCGCCAAGTCCTTTTTTTTTTTTAGGTTACCCAATTGTTATGTAGCTCCGTAAGATTTCTCTGCATGCAAGTGGCTTTTTTGAATTGTTGTGGACTGCTCATACAACACTTTGTTACTCTATTTTATCCTGATATGATTTTATTTTTTTATTATTATTTTTGGATTGAAAGATGCATATTTATATGCAGATTATTAAACACTGATCTTCTTGGTTTCATAAGCACATTAGGATTTTATGCAGATTTTTGTATGCTTTTATGCAGATTTTTTTATGTGATTTTATGCAGAATTTAATTTTTTGTATTTTATTTTTATATTTTTTTTATTTTAGGCCGGCTGGCCCGTAGCCCGCCAGCCCACTCATAAAACGGGCCGGGTTACTCAATTCAACCCATTTTGTCAAAACGGGCCGGGGTGGGCCAGCCCATTTTGGGCGAGCTAGTGGCGGGCCGGGGCGGGCTGGCCCATATTGCCAGCCCTAATTCAAAGTGATCTTATTGTTATCAAATGATGTTTAGATTGATTTCTAAAACTAAGTCAAAATAAGATTAATTAGAAACCAATAGAAAGTGGTATAGGTCAAAGATGTGTACAAAGTCGACAAGTTAGTAACATAACTTAACTTTGTGAATTCTTTGTATGATTTTTGATATATAAGTGATTCTATGTATCCTTGAATGAGTTAAACTCAAGAAGGTCAAAGTGGAATGAAGATCAACCAATTAAAATTAAGTTTGACAAGTTTTGATTAAATGGACCAATGAATGTGTAGTTTGAATAATCAAATGTCCAAGTAAGAAAAGATGCATACACTTAGTCATTCTGATGTACTTATAGTTGGCCCATTGTATATGGCCCAACCATTGATTCAAGAAACTCATAGTCAACTAGAATTGTGGCCTAATAAGTATGGTACAATTGTTGAAAGAGGCAATGATTTGAAATATAACAAATTACAATCGAATCCAAGTCTCAGTAAAGCAACAGATGTGATTGTGATTTGTTTGGGAGGAAAAGGAAATCAACATATTTGACATATTTGACGTGATTTGAGATTAAAGATTTGGGATGTATTTTGAATTATTTATTTGTAATTTTTTATTTATTTTTAGATGTTAATTACTGTTATATTTTATTTTAGGAAGTTTTATTATTTTTAGAATTTTAGATTTAGAATTTTGAATCAATATGTAATTAGTCTATAAAAGGGTGCTTATGACCCTTATTCTAGGAGTTGAATTTTGTTATTTGTTAATTAAAAATTGAGAACAGGAGGGTTACTTTTTTGTGAAATCCCAACTTTCTGTTTAGCCACTTTTCTATGCGCTTTCGGCATCATTTGGTATTAGAGCACTAGGTTGCCTTCAACCAATGGCTAAACAGAATCGTGGAGGTCGACGACAACAGAGTCACCAGAGTAGGGAACGTGGATTCATTCCTAAAGAATATAGACAACTGCATCAGATTGACCTACGAGTTATAGAAAATGAAGAGCTCGGAAGGCGGATCAGGATTTGAAGCAACAACTTGAGCAAGCGTTGGACAAGAAAAACCAAGTTTTGAAGCGATTATGCGTGCCGGCACAAAGAAGGAGAATTCAAGATTTGGAGCGACGACTTGTGTGGGTATGCATGAAAATTCAAATTTTGAAGCAAACTCTTGTGGAGGTGCAGAGCATGGAAATCCAATATTTGGAGTGGCGACTTGCGTGGACAAAGTTGGGCATTCAATCCGAAGAAGGAATGGAATTAGATGACGCATCTGATGATGAAGAAGAGGACGTCAATCCTTTGCGGATTCTAAACCAGGGACAGAATTGGAAAGTACGACCTGGAAATCAGTCAACTTTTCAAGATATCGAGATGCAAATCAGCATTCCTGACTTTGAAGTCTATGATCATAATCCAATTTGTGATGATGACCCGATCTATGATGATAATCCAATTTATGATGATTATCCGATTGTTGATAATTATCCCATTTATGATGATTATCCATCTTATTTGAAGATTCAGTTTATGATGATAATCCAGTCTATAATAAATCTGAGGGTGAATCATATTATGAAGATCTAATAGAGGAAGATTTATCATTTGAATTTTTGTCTAAAGAAATTGAGATCAGTGGAGATAAACAAGATTCGAGGACAAATCTTTTCCTAGCAGGGGAGAATGATGCACTTATAGTTGGCCCATTGAACATGGCTCAACCATTGATTCAAGAAACTCATAGCCAACTAGAATTGTGGCCTAATAAGTATGGTTCAATTGTTGAAAGAGGCAATCATTTGAAATATAACAAATTACAATCGAATCTAAGTCTCAGTAAAGCAACAGATGTGATTGTGATTTGTTTGGGAGGAAAAGGAAATCAACATATTTGACGTTATTTGAGATTAAAGATTTGGGATGTATTTTGAATTATTTATTTGTAATTTTTTATTTATTTTTAGATATTAATTACTGTTATATTTATTTTAGGAAGTTTTATTATTTTTAGAATTTTAGATTTAGAATTTTGAATCAATTTGTAATTAGTCTATAAGGGTGCTTATAACCCCTATTCTAGGAGTTGAATTTTGTTATTTGTTAATTAGAAATTGAGAACCGGAGGGTTACTCTTTTGTGAAATCCCAACTTTGTGTTTAGCCACTTTTCTATGCGCTTTCGGCATCATTTGATATCAGAGCACTAGCTTGCCTTCAACCAATGGCTGAACAGAATCGTGGAGGTCGACGATGGCGGAGTCACAAGGGTAGGGAACGTGGATTCGTTTATGAAGAATATAGACAACTGCGTCAGATTGACCCATGAGATATAGAAAATGAAGAGCTCGGATGGCGGATCTAGGATTTGAAGCAACAACTTGAGCAAGCGTTGGACAAGAAAATCTAAGTTTTGAAGCGACTATGTGTGCGGGCACAGAGAAAGAGAATTCAAGATTTTGAGCGACGACTCGTGCAGATATGCATGAAAATTCAAATTTTGAAGCAAACTCTTGTGGAGGTGCAGAGCATGGAAATTCAATATTTGGAGCGGCGACTTGCATGGACAAAGTTGGGCATTCAATTCGAAGAAAAAATGAAATTAGATGACGCATCTGATAACGAAGAAGAGGACGTCAATCCCTTGGGGATTCTAAACCAGGGACAAAATTGGA